AACACGCACACAAAAACAAATTTCATCCGAAGGTAAAGTCATAGGAAACAATCCGACAACAGACGAAGCAAATATTCGGATGAAGGAAATTAAGTCAAACTCAAGCATATTATAAACTTCGGTTCATTTCTCGGTAACGGAACATCTTTCTTGTTCACAATTTGCATATATTACGATGTATAATGCACTCAGCGATTTGTGAATAACGAATGAAAGAGAGCGGAATGTTCAACTGAGTTACGGGTACCTGTAATATAATGGACCAGTCCACGATATTCAAGTAACCTGTACAATATGTGTTCATTTGTCATCTCTGCAGGCTCGTAGATTGAATATCGTATACTCAGGTGGCAACCAGTGGATTTTTTTCTCTAAGTGTGTATTTTAGCTGTCACTGCATCAAGACTCGTTGATTTCCAGCCTCTCTTATAAACATACAGTTGTTGGTTATTACAACATCGAACTTAGTAGATACAGAACAAATGGCGCACCATTTAGGAGAGGCATTTCCACCTTCTCGGGAGTCGACACCACCTCTGTTTCCACGTACAGGAAGATTCGCTCATCCTAAACGGTAAGCAATTCATAATGTGTTTTTTCCTCTCCCAAAAATTCTTCAAAATAATTTACATCAATCCGAAATAGTGTTATATTAAATACATAAAATGCAGCTCAGTTGAAAAAAAGTGGTAGTCGTTCACCCCTACGACCTAGGATTGTTAGGATGTCCTAGATATGACTATGGTCTCCGTGTTCATTTGAGCTAACTTGTGCCTCAATGAATCGATAATAACTACTATGTAGTAAGTGTTGAATAAATCTGAATACACGCCATGGTATGTTGTAATGCTCGAATGTGGAGATGCGAGACTGAATCAACATTGTGGTATGCAACATTTATTTGCGTTGGTACGTTCCTTTTACCCACCAACTGTGTCCGTTGATATTTATCATATTATTAAAACGTTTTGTGATATCCCAGGAGAAAGAGAAGCTCAATCATAGCATTCCCCGTCAATGGTAATGAGTAAATAGAAAACGGTCTTTGACACATTAGCTATTTTACGTCTACTCGCCCACAGTACATTTATTATTCTGTAAATCATACTAGGCTTTCACTCTCCGATTGTCTTGCGTATATTACACTCCCAATCACGGTGATGCACTTTGAGACGTTGCAGACAGCAAACTGCTCGCCGGCTTCCCATAACGATGGCATTATCGTTTAAGTAGCATGTGGTAGATCACAAAAAGTAGATTTCTATTTCAGCTGTCAAATTATCAAAATTAGAAGCTTCAGTTTCGTTGTCGACTTCGCCAGCGAGGAATTTGCGTCATTGCTTCAAAACCGTTTTTGTTTTTATTGTCTTCCGAGTCACAATTGCGATAAAAAGTACATTGTCCATGAAGCTTTTTTATACTGCAATGTGTGCTGAAAGGCATAATTTATCACAAGAATAAAATTTCAATAGTGGTCGTGTGAGAATTGCGTTGAAAGAAACTATTAAATTTTTTATGATGTGCTGAATAAATTACGGAATCATTGAAATCATATCCATGAAAAGCTTTCTACAGACGATTACAATTGCCCAGGGCATTAGCATTGACTACACCAGGGATTATTTATAATTGGTATAGCTAAGACATGATATATAGATATTAAATTATATATAACCTAAAACATGGAGCGACCTATTAAGGTATAAGCCATCGCACTATTACGTCATTTGTTTACATCTATGCCAACCAGCACGGCCCTGCACGCGGTCTGCTGTGACACATTACCAGTAATATTTAATCAACCGGTACATGTACGTGTATATTTAATTACAACTGTAGCTAAAACGCCGCAATTTTATCTTCGGGGGGGGGGGCGGTTTTCGCTAACCAGTCACTGCGCACGCGCTCAAAATCTAAAAAGTGCAACGGCATATACTCGCGCGGATCGTGCTCTTAAAGCGCCACATACGTCGGAACGTGTCGTGTTCGACATGAGTCCAATACGTTGTTTGTTACACGAAATTCGAACACGCACTAACTATATTCTTTGACAAGGTGAGTTTAAATGATAACTGACACCCACACACTTATATCATGTTTTGTACAAGTCATTTTATGAATATCACAATCCAAGGTCACAGTTATTACTTTAACATTTAAACAGTTCAATTGAATGAAATCGACCATTTGAAGTCATTATTAAAAGCAGGGGAGTCGTCACCTGCGCATGCATCAGATGGTCATAGTGTGTCATTGTTTACAAACAAGCGTCTACCCATGAGCCTTTGCGTTTTTAGCGTGTGTTGTTATCGTCGCTTGGGACTCAATTCCCGCGCGTTCGCAGATGACGACCCTCCCGCTTTAAATACTTTGAATATTATATTATATTTGATTTATTCTTCATGTGAGATGGTTTTCGATGTCGGAATAATTATATAAGCTCCAAATCGTTACCTCATTTTATTTGCGTTTAAAAGTCCACACATTAATATATTTTTAATCTAGAACGTTTTGAATTGTAATTAGACGAACAAATCACTGAGGCGATGACGAAGGTGTTTTATAAATAAAGACATAATGTAATATGGAGAATCTAATATAGAAATAATTCCATGAATAAAAATCTGACTGAAGCGAAGCTTACTATAATTTGTTTTTCCAAAATACTGATATTCAAATCTGAGCGGCTGGCACCATATTGTTTCAATGGCATCTATACACTGATCAATAGCTGAACGCCTGCAGGCTAACAAAGGTTGTAGGTTACCATGCTGCTGGAATGTTGCAGTATTAAACTTGTATCTATATGTGTTTTGCTCTCACAATTACTTTTTTTAATTGGAAATAAGGTTTCCAGAGCAATATGTATATCACTTGAATGATTTACTGACTTATAATACCTCGCATAAATACATTTATTTCCTTACACTCGACTTGTGAACTTGTTAGAATTTGCCGGGTTTGTGAGCGCATTCAACGAGAAGAAATATGCCGGTAGTCTTGAACTAAAAATAAATGTCGTTTTCATATAACATGTAAGTTAGAAACATGGATAATTGTGATTGTTGGTGGTTGTTGCACGATTTGTACATTTGTCTATTTACAAAAATATTTAAGAATTACTTGAATATATTTAATCTCATTGAAACGACCAAGTTTCTTTGTGTATCGGGTAATTTATAATTTTATCAACAAGTTTATGTAACCTCAAATAAAACCTTTCGAAGCATACATTGTTGCACCTGTTTTATCTCAATGTTTAATATCTCATCGACCAAACTACAGTGGTGATACACGTCATTTCCCACCCGTGCTTCTTCAAATTGTTCAAGCAATTACATGTGACATTTAACGGTAGCGATTATTTTGTATCAATGCCATACGAAATAGCTACTAATTAGCTCAGATTAGAAAAAACTAGTTTTAGTAAACTACACGATCTCTCAAGTTCACAATTATTTCCTCAAAAAAGTCGAAATATGTAATGATTTAATTGCGGCGAACAAGTAAGTGTTGACGTGTAACAGACGCGTTTTTTGTGTGGAATGTAGAAAATATTAAGCATGCATTGTCTTTGCTCCGTTCAGAACCCAAGTCATATATAGCAACATGTTGCTTCTAGAGGGTAATTTTTACACATCTTTCACATTCATGATCAGGACGAAAATGATTTATTTGAACAAATGAGCTTCCTTCAATTCAAGATCTATTTCAAACTTGACAATATGTGTACCTAAATTACTTGATGAATGTGAAAGACAATTTTTCACAAGTGACGTAAATTGTAATAACAAATCATTCCATAAGAAAATAGTAATTGGCGAAATGTTGGAAAATAAATTTAATGATTGTAACTTTGTCAAGATGTTAGATAATATCAATTTAAATTAATGTAATACATTATCGTTAATAAAGTCTACCACATCATCTATAGTAATAAATCTTCCTTTATTTTCAGAATGTCTATTACGCCAATTCCGACTCAAGCAGCCGCGTTCAGATATATAGTTCTAATTGGAACGGCAGGAAAGAGAACTAGTAATAAGCCATCGTACACTATATGACAACTAATTTTCATATAACATTCTAATTCAAATCCCCAGTCTCAGCTACTGTATGTAAACAACTGAACTCTATATAAATTCAGTAATTTCATACGCTGGGTAGAATGATACATGTATCGCAACAACATCACTGCTATAGAAGAAAACGAAAATATCAGAAAGTACTATTTCACAGAGGGAAATTAAAATCGCAGCTGTCTGTTTACCGCCTACGTTCTACTAACCAAATAGATATTTGCGGTAATCAACCGCTTGCTCACATATGCTACCTGGCGTTCAATTATCCGTCCTGACGAGTTCAATGTAGGAGTATTAACTTCCTCAATAAAACATTCGCTGAAAGTACATTCGTCATGGAAACAGTACACGGTGACATTGTCTGGATATATATTATCAAGCTGCGTAATAAATTTACTTTAACGTGAATAGTTTAAACCCAAAGGTCACTTACAACATAATTGCGCTGTTTGAGGTAATGTTTGAGATTAAAATTGATTAAAAAAGTATTTAAATTTGGCATTTTGAAACATGCAAAAGTCATCATGACGTAATGCAACACAAAACCCTTATATTCTCGATGAATGAATGGAAGGTGTCATACACGGATATGAACGCACGAGTAATATTGCGATGGACAGCCTCATAAATAAAAAGCATTATAAATGATCTCGATAAATGTGGGGAGCACGATTGCTGTACCCAAAACATCGTATCTATTGAGGAGTAATATCAACAATCACACTATCATGACAAATTGAACTTGACAAAAAAGGGCAAATGTAATTACAGAAAGGCTACAGCTGCCGATGGGAAGGTCATTAATGTTTTGGTGAATATACGTCATATGAAATCAATAATTAAAAAAATCGAAAAAAACCCTACATAATTATGTAAAGTCTTGTAAGCTATTCACGGTGTTTTTTTAAAATTATATACATCTTGGCAGCTACACAGTGCGTAAATATGTCAGGAAATTGGATAGTATTAGATGAGTTAAAGTCTTGACTAAGAGTCAAGGTTGTTGCTCCCTCGTGTATTCTTTATTGAAATCGTTTAATCCCAGTAGACCCAGTTGGTTCACTCGAGATGTTATGATAATTAGACCGATTAGATATCAACAATCTAAAAACCGTAATGATTACAATGAAAAAATCTTTACATTTGCAACGAGCCGTAAGCAGTATTGAATATTGTACATTTCACATACAAATTACTAATAACAATACAATAATTTCAGACGTAATTAAAATGTGAATACATTGAACAGTTCTGCGAACACGCACACATATGTTTACTTACAATCACCTAACACACTTACACTATTGGCCGCTTCAGTTCACCCACACCGTCATAAAACCTTTTATTTGTCTTTAGGTTCTTGCCGAATGCCGTTAAGCAGTACACTATTTCGTGATATTCAGTTTTTCATGTTCTAGTGTTATATAGAAAAGGCAATTGCATTTATTGAATATTATTTTTTATTGAATAGGTAGTAAACATGTCTTGAAAA